TCCAAAAACCCGCTTCCCTCCTGCATTTGAATCATCAGGATGGGAATGGAGAAGAGAAGGGAAGGGGGAGGAGAAACTGAGAGCAGAGGAGAAGGCGGAGGAGAAGGACAGGGGAGAGCAAGAAGAAAGAGGAGAAGATGGATGAAAGAACAAGGGAGAAGGCAGAATAGAAGGCAGAGCGACAAGGCGAAAGTAAGGCAGCAACCTGTTTTTCGCGTTTCTCTTCCACCATACTGTTATCCTGAGCGCTGACCTACCAAAGATCATCAGCGAACGCTCTGATCCTCCGCTCCGCTCCCATTGGCTCTCCTCCTCTTTGCTCCTCTCCGCTCGGCCCCTTCCCCCTCCCTTCTCTCTCTCTTCTCCACCTCGGTCTGCTTGGCTCGCTTCTCCCGCTTGCTCGCCCTCTCCTTGTACCTCCGCTCTTCCCTGTTTGCTCCCTGCACCTCCACCTGCACGCCAGCGTGAGGACGATACAGAGAAGCAGGAGGAGAGGAACCCTCCGCTCTTCGAGGCGAGCCATGATCCTCTGCAGGTTTTCCTTCCTCGTTTGCTCTTCGGAAATGTAGAAGAAAGCGCAGCTGGTACGAAAGGAGGAAAAGGGGGAAAGACGGAGGGAAAGGATGGGGGAGGAGGGGGGGAGGAGGGGGAGGAGCAGGCGGATAGGAGAGAAGTAATGGAGTAGGAGAAGAAAGATGGAGAGAAAGAGGAGGAGGAGGAGGAGGAGGATGGTAGAGATGCACAGAAGAAGAGAAACGAGGAGCGAGACAAACCCGTGGAGAGAGGAGGGAATCGATCAAGGAACGGAAGAAGGAGGAAGAAGATAGGATCGGATAAGTTCGCAAGGACTCAGTTTCAACCCTTCCACTGCAAGTCTCACAGTACCTGAAGGCGACGATGGCGGAGAGAGCTGCTGTGACCTGAGCGCTAAGGAGACAACTTCACGACAACATAGCGCACGTGGCTTCCGAAGAGTCCAGCATGGTCTCATCTCTCCACTCATTGCTTTACCCTCCTTGGCTAAGTCCTTCCTCCTTGTTCCTCCTTCTTACTCTTCCTATCGCTCTTCCTCCTCCTCCTCCTCCACCACCACCTCCTCCTCCCCCTCCCCCTCGCTCCTCCTCCTCCTCGCTCCTCCTCCTCGCTCCTCCATCCATCCATCCCTCCCTTCTTTCCCATTCTAATCCTCTACCTCTCCATCAGCACACCTGTACAGGATCGGGATGTTATCCGCAAGGTCCTTGAGTGCCTTCACTTGCAGCTGTTCCGAGGAGAGGAGGAGGACGGGAGCGGCTGCTGCTGCTCCTCCGATGACGGTGTAGAGCTGCAGCCTGACGGGTCTGGCAGGGCGATATGAGGGAGTAGAGCGGGGAATCAGCCCGTTGCTACCTCAGTGGGGTAGCCTTCCTCTCCGCTTCAATCACTGCCTCTGGAATCTCCTCCCCCGAAGCTGACATCATCCGTACCTTGACCCTCCCCGTCACTCGCTCAATGCAACTGCAGCAGCGACCACGGAGTGGCTGACCTGCATGGTGCGACCTGTCCGGATGCGACCCAGTGGAGTGCCCAGGGATGGCAGCGAGTGGAAGGAGGAGACGGCACAGACGCAGCTGAGGAAAACAACCTGCTCGAGTGCTAGTCCTTCAGCGGCAACTGGCGCCCTGCTCATCCCCAGCCCCCTCTCCCGCATGCTCATCTACCCACACACGCCGCTCTCCTCCCTTCCCTGCTCACCATGCCTACTCCCCCCTCCTACGTGTTCCTGCACTAATTGTGGCTTCACCTTTGAACCTTTCCTCTTCCTCCTCTATCCCATCCTCTGTCCCATCCTCTGTCCCTCCTCTTCCAAGGCCCCTTATCTTCCTCCTCCCTCCCCCTTCGTCTCGTCCTCTCCCTTCTCCGCCGTTGTTCCTCTCACCGCGACTTGGATCCTCGCCATGCCGTAGGGAGGCCGAAGGCGTCGTTCTGGACTGCAAGGGTACGGGGATATGGGAGTTTTATTAGAGCCCGACTCGATAAATACGTGTACTAGAGCCCACTACTCATCACTCAGCTTCCCCTGTAGTGATCCGGTCACGAAAGCAGGTCACGAAGTGTCCGAATCTACCCCTCATCCCCGCATGGCCCGGGCCTCCGGCGGTCCGGCCAGTCCGGCAGTCATCAACTGCCGGTCGGCCCCGTCGATGACCAGGGGAGGGGCGGGGGGCCAGAATGGGGGGCCGAGAGTTGGAATTTTAAAATGGTTTTAATATGTCCTCGGAATCACTTCTTTTCGTCCTGTTTTGAAACCATTAGTTCCATATGACTTCTTTTCAACAATTGGTAAGCTGAAAAGGATTGCTTTCGTCCGTCGGTTTCCATAGATAAGCCTTAGGAGGTCAGAGGAACCACCTATCTGTCATAGTAGAAGTCATTCTGCTATGACCCACGGCCTAGCAATCCCTGACTGCCAATTTCGCTTACCGCCTAGGAGGTTTGGCAGGCGCATCATGAACTTGTAAAATTTTGGTGGCACTTTTGAGCACCCGGTGAAAAAACTTCGTGTCAGCAGTAGTCGGAAGGAGAGGGAGAAGACGAGAGGAGCTAGAAACGACGAGGGAGGGAGTGAAGGAAACAAGGAAGAACGAACACAGGGGACAGCGTACTTGTTCGCACACTTTCTGCAAGGAGGAACGTTGCTCCGAAGACTAGTTGGACGAGGAAGAAGAAAACGCCGAGAACGAAGCCGTGAACACATAACAGAATGCAAGTTTGTGACTACCTGCCAGCCATCGATGCTTGCTCGTGTCCCAAGAAGCCAGACACTGGAAATCAGACGTCGCGGTCAGATGTCCGAGACATCAAGAAACAATTTGGAATAGAAAAAGAGAGGGACGAATCTGTCGTTGAAGCACAGCAGTATTTCAAGTCCTGTATCTACAAGTGCATGCATAGCGACGAGTGCAAGTGCATGTCCTTGCCTCAGTCTGTTTATCACAAGGAACCCTCCAATGATATGCCATTTAAATCTCTATCGACGCTCATTCTCACTAGGCTTCACAGCATATAAGATGGGCTTCACTGCAGCCTCTCAGAGCTGAACCTTAGCAATATCATGATTCCACCTGACCTTTGATTATCACGTATTGCTTGCACTTGTATGCTTAGGATACATTCTCCTCTTGTAAATAAAGAAGAAACGTATATGTTGGTTTTGCACAGTTCTATTCACAGGAAATGAATGAAAAAACAATAGGAATCTCACAAGATGTTACAACATGAACGAATGAAATGCTCTGCACGAATGAAAATAGTCGCTTCCAGGGATCCACTTTCCCTCAGCGCCTCCACCCTGAATTTGTGTCAAAGAGATTGCCATACTTCACCGCTAACCAATACCTCAATCGACTGCCTCGCGATATCATCCCAACGATCCAACTCATAGTTGTACCTGTTGTGATAGGACAGACCTGTTAGCAAAGAGCTATGCAGATCGAGTATGTCAACGTTACCTTTCCATGGAGCATTTTGAACCTGATTGATCCGGCTTGCTCCCAATTACATGCAGGACTCCACCCAAAGCTACCAGAGCAAAGCTACCACGATCTCGATTGAGACTAGCCTAGTCTGGAATTCAGAACAGACAAAGAGAAATAGAGCAATAAATCAATCACCATGTTCTTCCAAGACCCTGATGACGGATTATAGCTTTCTACTGCCCCTGTTCGTTGCAACTGTGGTGCAGCTTTAGTTTCTAAAGTGTTGGAGGAAGGGATTTACCATTTCATCAAATCCACCAGCAAAGTATAATCTCCCAGAAACAGAAACCAATTGCATGCACACTCTTGGCGATGGCATGAACGTCACTACGGTCCACTTGTCAATGGATTCATCGTAACTGCAAAGAACTCTAAGCAAGTCTGGAAACAATCAGAATTTTTCCACCGTTCTACGGAGTCCAAGACATTCTTGTTGTTGTCCAGGCCACCAGCCTGACGGAAACCATGCTCAAATCGAAAGAAGCAAGAAACCTTGAATGTACCACATAAATGCAACCATCTAGCACTGCAGCGGCAGCGAATGATCGTGCATGATTCTGTGGTGTTCACCAGCAATGGTCAGTGGTTCATAACTCAATCTAACAGACACATACAAGGTCAGCAACACGCTCCCATTTTCCTTGTTCAGTATTCAGGCGTTCAACACTGTAAACATTCGAGTCAGTGACGAAGTGGGTTGGTGTCTTAATCTGCAAATCACCTGGATAGAGCGCCTCGCAAGTTGTCACCGCCAATAGCGTAAATTTTCGAGTGCAGGACAGCAGCACAATGAGACGATCTACAACTAAAAATCAAAACCAGCTTTATCATTCAGCTGAAAATGCCTGGGAGAGGTCATCTCAGGTGCAGATTTCCAACCGCTGTGTCCATCGTAACATTCCACACTCCTGTCGAATTTCACAATTGTCAGCAGTCAAGTGAGGCTGTACGTCTATTACTTCGTCACCTTAGCCGTTCAAAAGCCCCCTGCATACCACCCATAATGTACAACTTGGATTGCAGCTCTGCGGCAACCTTTCGGAGAACAAGTATCACCCACGATTCCGAAAGTTAGAACTTTTTCATTCGCACCGCGAAAAAACGAGGATGCTGAAGTTCAGGAACCTCTCTCCAGATTCTCTGATCGACCTCGAATCTGTAGACCTAACACAAAAAGTCAGAGCAAGTATGCAATGGGTTGTTCATGTGTTGTTCGAATCAGTTTGTGGACTTACAGTGCAAAGTGCTTGCAAACGTTTGCAACAGCCGCCAATTGCATAAATTCCCCGAAGGTTTATGTAGTCAGTGTGAGCCTTCTTGTACAAAGATTTCCATTCCAATGTGGAGTCTTGGTTGCTCATGTCCCACACAGAAAGATGCTGACAAACAAAAGCGCATGAACGTGTCAGAGCAGTTTTCCAAACTTTCGAATTTTGGTACTCACAGGTGGGAAATCCCGAAACGCCAATCTCCTCCAAAGGTGTTCTGAATTGCTGATCGCATAGATCATTCGACATGTGCTCATAACCTTGCCAATCTCTTCCGCTGGTAGGTAGATAAGAATCTCGTGAAGAATGTCGGAGAGATTCAGAATCATGTTCTCATCGAAATTGTTTTTGATCTCTACGGACTGGCTTTTGCAGAACCTGTGCACATGCCCAGGGTTCTGCATGCTGCAACAAGGTTGGGCCACGGGACTCAGCATGCTCTTGCTCTCAATGCCGCCAATGCAGCGCTCATGTACATTGCGTCAGTCCCTGCAGGGATGGGATGTAACCAGTTAGTTGAGGAGCGGGATGGAGGGGTACTCAACAATGCCAGGCGGGTAACCCAAACCCTGTTCACTTAGTAGGGTAGGGTACTGATGAAAGGGGACAATATGGTCTTGGGGTACCCAGGGAATGGGTAGGGGTTAGCAATGGAGGGGTATGTTTTGAGCATGGGCCCCCAACGGGCAGTGCGAGTACTGTCCGAGTTTGCTATGAGTGGGGGTGGTCGGTCCCATCGACACGGCCATGCACTGGAGGCTAATAAGAAATGGTTCAGTCATTGAGAGGAGGGTGGGGGTGGTTACGTTAGAGTGTGGTAGGGGTAAGGGTCCAGATAGTGGTGGAAGTGATGGGAGCCTTTCTCGACATAGCAACTAGGGGGTAGGGGTGGGGGTTGGGGTGGTCATCCAAAGGGTGCGGTTTCTTATCGAGACAAGACAATCGACAATCCGCCTTTTAGATTGAATACCCCACCCCCTTCCATGGAACACACCCCACCCTCTGAGCAATGAAATACCCTCATATCAGTACAAAGTAGGTACCCTCACCCCCAATTCACAGACGTGGTCGCACCTACCCCCGTTGAGACTGCGTCTTACCGTGCGGCTGCCATGGAGGTAACGTGATCATGACCTGCAGGGCACGGACCCTCACCCCCTTTTAGCCCTAGGATCTACCACCCTACCCATGGTAAGATAAGAGGTCTTCCTTGTGGGGATCAAAGCAGGAAAATTTCTCAATTGAGCTTCAAGTTCTGAAGGCTAAGCCCTCTCCTGCCTTCTCTGATTTCAGGAACCTCAAGATCGACCTTCACCCGGGCCGGAGTCCCACTCCCCCTGCAGGGGACGAAACCCCAGGGGTCGGTTCGCATCTCAAAACTGCACAAATATTTGAAATTACGGAGTCATATTGAATGTTACATTGTAATTTTCAATGGTGTATTGAAAACTGATTTTGGACAAGAACCCCTGGTTTCTACCTGGACCACCTACCCATCCCTCAAGTTTACCACGGTTCCTCAGGTGTAGGTACCACCCACCCTTCATGGCTATGAAATGAAGGGGTGCTCATGGATAAAGTAAAACACATTTATAACGACCCCCTTCATCAGTCCCCAAACCCTAAAAAAATTGTCCTCTACAATGCGCCTCTTGCGACGCAGAATGAGTGCGTGTGGAGGAGGGGAAGAGGGAGGGAGAGAGGATGGAAATTGATTCGGAATGGGAAGAATGCAGGACGAAGATACGAGTACAATGAATAGCGCGAGGTATGCTGTAGAGAATGAAGAGAAATGTCGTGTGTCAGGAGTCATGTGGGGAACGGCATACCTTGTTGAGGTCCGAACCGAACAAGCAAAGGAATCGAATGGTAACCGTTGCCAGATAGAGTGTGTTAACGTGGAAAGGAGAGAGCTCTATGGGTGCTGGACGGAAGGTGACAGCTGACAGAGTCTAGCAGCGGAGCTGGGATACTAATTAATACAATGTAGAGGTCAATTCCAACACCCTTTGCTTAACACATAGAAGCATGATTTGCAGAAGATGGTCTATACCTGTCCCTTCTTCAGGACGCTCTCCACGCCTCCCCCCCCACGCCTCCCCCCCCACCCCCGAGAACTTTCTATGGAAGAGTATTTATCCTCGATTCTTGAATTGCGATGTATGTATGTTGCTGTTTGTTTGTGATACCCATGCCGAACCCTCAAAGCGTACATGTTTAAATATTTCACAATAAATCTCCTAACGCTCTTCATTTCCATCGCTGTCATTGGTTTGAATCTCTTTGCTCTGGCTTCGTCAAACAGGCATGGCCTCAGTCGTCAGCCTCAAACCTGGCCGGTGGACTCGGAGTAGTGATGTGCTCGCAGTCGTACTTGCCCGGGTCATGTACCGTACGGTCCGATCACGCCGGTCTCAGTTACGGTGCTTCTCACTTGCTCGGCTCAAGTCTCGTCGCTGGCCCGAGTCTTGGAAACATCACATGAAGCCCTCAACCCTGACACACTGGCACGGCGGGGCATGCTGGAGCCGTGACTTCGGAGTGCCATGACCGTTCTAGTACGGCGAGAAGACCCAGACGGAGAAAAGACAGGGTGAACCAATTGTTATCCGTCCCACTGCCGCATTGTCCCAAACTTACTATGTGACTGATACCTTCCGAGGTTCACATCGCCATGATTGAACCGTTCACTCAACTGTGCGCAGCACTGGCAATGATCTGTAGTGAAGGTATCAGTTAAGTTTGGGGGACAGCAGTCGGCAGGAATAGGTTTGGTTCTCGCTGTCTTATCTCTTCTCGCCGTTTGGCCTGTGCGACAGTCAGGGTCAAGCCTCCTCGACTCTCCTGATTGTCCTCGTACTGATTTTTAACTTAACTTTGAGTAAAGAGGCCGCTGATTGGCCCCGGATCATCGGATGATTTCACTCAATTCCCAATCGGGCACATAACTTGGGCATGGCGGTGCTGGTGGTGGTGAACGGAGAAGTGCTGACATGCATCGAGGAGGAGGAGGAGGAGGAGGAGGAGGAGGTCGAGGTCCAAGGGAGCCAGCGGAGGAGCGAAGAAGAGGAACTCCTGGAGAAGGGAGGAAGGAGGGAGAGGACGGAGCGATTGCTGAGGGTCTTACTCAAGGCAATCAAGGAACAGACAGGGAAGAGACAGACCATCAGGTTCCTCCACTATGGGCGCTGGGTCAAGATCGAGGACGTAGACACATACAGAGCTATGATGAACTTTGCTAGGAAGGAGGGGAAGGGGCAGGTGACAGCCGAGCTGGCAGAGTGCAACTGGGAGGACGAGGTCTATCAAGGGAAGGATGATGAAGGGGCGTTTGCGATGATCAGCGACTTGTTCTGCTTCGACCCGCCCATGGAGGTGATGAACTTCGCTCTGTTGGTGGGAGTAGGCCTCCTGTTCTCAGTGGGAGGAGCGGTCGCCGCCTTTGTGATCGACCAGGTTTTGATTCCGCCGTGCGATCTAGATGGAAGAGATTGACATGTGTTTGTTCAGATTCAGTTCCAGGAGAAGACGAAAGAGCCTCTTCCTCTTAACATGCACGTTCTCGGTGCGATCTGCACCTTCCTGGCTGGCCCATCGTTGGTCTTCCTGGCCTTCGTTCCGAAGAGGCGGCCACTGAACTTGTTCAACATCATGGAGGTTGCGATCTTGGGCTTCCTGTCCTTGTTTGCGAGCATGTTCTGTCTGGTGTGCTATGGATGGAGAGAAGAGGTGAGATGAATGTAGCCGTAGCAGTGCTGCTGGTGGCGACAAGAGGAGCAGGTGCAGGTGCAGGACCAAAAGAGTAGGAGCAGGGACAGGAGCAGGAGCGGGAGCAGGAGCAGGAGGTGGTTGTAGATGAGAAGAAGGAGTAGGGCGGAGAAGTGGTAGTTTTGGCGGCTTTAGAGGGGATGGACTGACGCTGCTGTCTGCAGCAATCAGGTATAGTCGGATCTCTGATTCTTCTCTACTCTTCCTGCCTGCACATCCTGTCGAGCCGCCAACTCTTAAGCACTTGCGCCGTGAGGATGTACCGGCGAGTTTTCCGCAAAGGTGACCATCCTGCCCCCTGTTGAGCAGCTCGAGCTGAGAAATTCTCTCCGTCCGCGCAGGGGAGGATGAGTTGGAGGAGGAGTACGTCACACCCAGAGAGAGAGGGGAAGACAGTGAAGAGGACGAGGACGAAGCTCGGAAGGGGGCAGAGATGGTCGACAAGATCATGAACGAGCAGTCGTCATCGGGATCAGGTCCGCACGAGGACGAGGACGAGGACGAGGACGGTGGTAAGACGAAGTTCGACCCCTGGCTCCCCTACAGGATATGCAAGTCCGTCTGCTGGATCCTCGTCTTCCACTTCTGCAACCGCCGGAGGCTGATCAGGATGGCCAAGTCGCTTATTCTCCTCGTGTGCTACACCGTCCTCTGCCTCCTCCTCCTCCTCCTCCTCGGCCTCCTCGCTAGCTGGGTCTACTACAACTACCTCTACAGCTTCCACTCCGCCCTCAGTGGAGGTCAGACGCTCTCCCGCAACCGCGCCGGGCGTCTCAACCGCCTGCTCTGCATGGGGCAGAGACCGATCGACCCCCGCGCCCCTCTCCCTCCCCTCATCTTCGAGGCCATGGAGAACGTCGGCCAGGCGATGGCCTCCTATGCTCTCCAGCAGGAGCTGGCAAGGTACGGCATCGTGTGCTCCTACGACAGGGCTGGCTTCGGGTGGAGCGAGCAGGGGGGGAGCGACAGATCGCCGCAGAGAGTCGCGGCGGAGCTAGCATGGATGCTCGTGAACGGGTCCAGGGGGAGCCCACCTGTAGTCGAGGTAGGGGGGAAGTTTATCCCCCTGCTACCTCCGTTCATCCTTGTCGGCCACTCGGTTGGCAGCATCTACACCAGACAGTTTGCCATGGACTTCCCGTAAGCTGTTCTCCTCCTCACTCCCCCACGTCCCTTCCTCCCTCTCCTCCTCCTCGACTTCAACCTTCTCCTGTACTCTTCCTCCGTCCAGTCTGGACCATACCCTCATCTCCATCCCACTCACTTCTGACCTCCCTTCCCTCCTCCCTCTCTGCTGCTCACCCCCCCCCCCCCTCTCTTCCTCCTTTTTTCTTCCTCCTTTCATTCCCTTCTCATCGCCCCCTCTGCTCTGCTCTGCTCTGCTCTGCTCTACTCTGCTCTGCTCTGCTCTGCTCTGCTCTGCTCTGCTCTGCTCTGCTCTACTCTGCTCTGCTCTGCTCTGCTCTGCTCTGCTCTGCTCTGCTGCCCTCCCGTCCCATCCCGTCCCGTCCCTCGCCTCGCCTCTCCTCTGCTCCTCCTCACCTTCCTACACAGAGAGCTCACCGCCGCTCTTGTTCTCCTCGACGGGATTCCATTGCAACTGGATGAGCGCAGGAACGGCTTGCAGGTTCTTTCCGACTCTCAGAAGTTTTTCAATGCACAGGTACTGCTCCTCTCCTCCGACTCCCCTCCCCTCCCCTGTTCCTCCTGCTTCTCTCCTCCCCTTCTCTTCCTCGTCTTCATCACAGTCCTCAGTTTCCTCTTTGTGATGCGCTGAACTACTCTGTGCTGTTTTTCCATTCCTCGTCCTCCATCCTCCCTCCCTCGCTACCACCACCTCTTCACCTCCTTCTCCTCTTTCTCTCCCTCTTCCTCCTCCGCTTGCTTTCTCTTCTCCCTCCCTCTTCCTCTCCCCCTTCCTCTTCCTCTTCCTCCTCTTCCTCCTCCTCCATCTCCTCGAATCGAGACAACTCATCCCCTCTCCTCCAGGTCTTGTGGTACGCCAGCGTCCTCACGCATCCCATCGGCTTCTCTACCTCTCTCTCCTTCCTCGTCAGGTCGTGGCTCCTTCCTGGCTCGAACTCCTCCCTCGATGGCCTCAGTCAGCTCGTTGACTACTGGGTGAATCCTTACACCGCATCAGCCATGAGAAATGTGAGCATGACGAGCGTCCTTCTGCCTGCTCCCTCCTTTCCTCCTCCCTCCTCCTTCCCCCCTCCTCCCTCCTCTTCTCCACCCTCCTCCTTCCTCCCTGCTCCCTGCTCCCTGCTCTCTCCTCCCTTCTGCTCTCCTCCCTCCTTCCTTCCTACCTTGTACTCTACGCATTTTCCCTTTCACGTCCTCTCTTTCCTCCCTCTGCCCCCTGTCCTTCCTCCTGCTCGTCCTGCTCTCCCCACTCCTCCCGTTTTCTGCCTCTGCCCCTCCTCTCCCTCCCTTCTGCTCTCATCGCGCATGCTCGCAGGAGCTCGCTTCCCTCAGCATCGGCTCTCTGCAGTCGCTGCAGGACCAGGAGCAGCGCCTGGGCTACCGCGTGCCGCTGGTGGTCTGGGCCCGAAATTTCTCCTGCACGAGGAGTTGGCTCCAACCTGGATGCGCCAGCCGTGTTCCCTCCTCGAGCAAAGCTTGGATGCTCGGGGGGGAGCTGGTCTCATGGTAGGAGGAGGAGCAGGAAGAGGGCGAAGGGGAGGAGAAGGAAGGGGAGAGAAGGAGCAGGAGCAAGGAGCAGGAGGGGAAGGAGGAGAGGAAGTTGAAGAGGATAATTTGTGATTGCTGTTGGCGCAGGTATGACGTGCAGGCATCGATCGCGAATCTCTCGCGGAAGGAAAGCATCCTTGTGCGGAGCAAGACAGGCTCCAACGACGTGGCGGCACTACAGGGAGGAGAGGTAGGAAACGAGCAGGAAGAAGAGGTCAAGGGAGGAGGAGGGAGGAGGGAGACAGCCATCGAATGATGTTTGGGAAAAGGGAAACGAGGAAAGGGTAAAGGAATGAGTTGAGGAAGGGAGGGAGGAGGAGGAAGGAAGGAGAAGCAGGAGGAGGGAGTCAGTAGGCAGATGAGGGAGGTGGAGAGGTGGAGATGGAGATGGGAGGGAGGAGAAGGGAGGAAGGAGGGAGGGAGGAGGGAGGGAGGGAGGCCGGGGGGAAGGAAATTCACTTCCAACTCTGAGGCTGGTGCAGGTGCTTGACGAGCTTGTGCGAGTGATCAGAATGGGGTGGGAGGTCGTTGGATTCTGAAAGTCTAAAGGGGAAGCGAATGGAAGTACTGGACCGCTGCTGCTGCCTTGGCTATGTCGACATTGAGGACGACGTCAACCCTTGCAACCTGAGGAAGAGGAGAGGATGCGGAGAGGCAGAGAGGAGGAGAGGGAGGAGAGGGAGGAGGAGGAGAAGACGATAGAGGATAGGAGGAGTGAGGGTCAGGAGGAGAGGCGGAGAGGGAGGAGGAGGAGAAGACGATAGAGGATAGGAGGAGTGAGGGGAGGAGGAGGAGAGGACGATAGAGGATAGGAGGAGTGAGGGAAGGAGGAGGGGAGAGAGTGGAGATGTCAGCTGACAGGCGGGAGGACGAGAATGAGAATTTCGTCACCTTGTTGGTTTCCGGACCTACGACGTCTGCCGCCCCATCGCTGCTACAGTGCTGAGCGACGCTGAGGCCTGCGCCAGAGAGATCAGAGGACGCAAATCGAAGCATGGAGGAGGAGGAGGAGGAGGAGGAGGAGGAGGAGGAGGAGGAGGAGGAGGAGGAGGAGGAGGAGGA